CCCCCGCCCCAGGCCTCTTACTGTGCAACCCAAAAGCTCTCAAAACCGAACTCTTCCATATTGTCAGTATTGGGACGGAGGCAGCGGTGTGTGCACCTCTTCCTTCCTTCATCCCTCTGCCGGGTTCGTACGGGTTTGCTCTACGGAGCTGCTTTCTGTGCGGTGAGCAATAGGCAGAGGTTTGAATTTGGGGAGGGGAGCTGGGGAGGGTCACCTCTTGGCTGATAAAATAGCCGCAGAGTCTCCGGCAAGCGTGCTGAAAGACTGAGCAACTCTTTCTGCATTGGGTGTGACACTCAAATTATTTACGTTTTTCTGAGCGCTTGCATAGGATTTCAGCGTTACTTTTGCAGCGCAGTAAGTGCTTTGGGCTATTTTGGTAAAATCATTATGGTTCGTGTTCCGCAGGAGTCAACCTAGAGTATATTCCTTCACCGTTTCTTTAGCTGTACGAGTGTAGAACAGTGAACTGTGTAACAAGGAGGGATGAGATCGGAAGTGATGAATGTGTGACAGCCAGGAAAGAGAACAGGTAAATCCTAGAAGAAGCTAAAAGGGGAAAGGTTGGCTGCAACAGGAGCTTACAAAGTGGAAGCAGCAGGTTTTTGAATGAAATCTGAAAGGACTTGAAGAATGGTTTGAGATGGAAGGGGTTTGACAAAATTGAGTTGATGCGAAGGAAGTGTAATGAACTGAAGAAAGTTGCCTGTGCGTTACCTGGTAAAAAGAAACGCATCCTCAGACCGAAGTGTATGTAAAGGCCTACTTAGGGTTTTCAGTCTGGAGTTACGCTATTAGTTAGGCTTTAAGTAGCATCTGTATCTTCATTTTCAAAAATGATTTAACTACTATCATTATTACTTTCCCTCTCACCACGCTATTTCTTCCATTTCTGCAAGAATATAGGTTCTCTACTTGCTCCTCTGTCATTTGACTTACGTCTTTCTCATGCCTCTGTTGCTGTAATGACATTGTGTGTGGTGTAGTAAGATGCAGGAAAGCGGAGTTTGTAGCACACAGACTGCGTTTCAGCTTACAGCCTGTACCAATAGCTGCTGGAGCTTTCTTAATTAGCAAAAAGGAAGTAAATGCAATGATTAGGGCTTTAATTTTAGCCCTGAAGTTTATGCAGGAGACTGCTACAATTGGATGTAGTCCATCAGTGCTCTTCCTCTCTGTAGAGCCTGTGTATTGCAGTGGTCTTTCATTCTGTAGAAATATATGTATTTATAATAATAACAACAATGTTAATAAATCCATATTTAATTTTAAAATATAAATTTACAAACATAGGAAGATACCAATATATGTTTAGCATTGAAGAAAAAATGAGTGGAAAATAAAACTTCCTAGAAAGCTGTCCTAATTTTCATTATTGAAAAGATGGTTGTGGTAAACCAGCAAGTTTGTTCTGTGCCAGTGCTGAATCTCGCTAAACATCATTTGCATTGTTTTGGTTGTTTAAATGGAGTGGTATTTAATTACTGGAGCAAGCCATATAGCATTTGCAAAATCTGTGGTTTAAATCCCATGTATTAAACATCTCATTTTTTTCACTTCTATTCACTTACTAGTATTCTTAGGTTACAAGTAGTCCCTTTCGAGGTAGTAGGAGTGTTATATGTATTAGAATATCCTAATACCTTACAGGCTTGCTCTCCATTCGTGCATTAAAGCTATATGCTTGTTCACTTCCTGAATTAATTCAACGTGTAGAATGTCTCTGGTTTTAATTTTACGTGCTGAACTAGAGAAATGGTATTGTGTCAGGATTAACGTGTATTAGGCTGTGGATAAGAGGAGCAGTAATACAGTGAATTTGTTTTCTGACTCCTGAAAAATAGATTGTTTTGTACTTTAAGAGTACAAGAGCTTTTTTATTTTGTATACCAGAAAATATTGACAGTTTTTTCCATGAACTTTCTGTAAACGTTTAAGTCTATAAACATCCTAAGGGTTAAGATCAAAACCAAATAGGGTTACAAAATTATTTGAAATTGACTTAAGCATGTTGTGGTTCACTAATAATCATGGTAGCTATCCTTAACCTTATCTAGCGAAACTTACTTTCACTGTTCTATTTGCCTTATTTGGCCTTTTTTAAGAAATATTATGCCATAAAAAAAAAAAAAAGAAGATAATTTCTTTTTTTCTTCCCCCCTGCAAATTAATGGAGAGTGATAAGGGTAAGGGATGAAAACAAATGTAGACACAAAATCACTCAGGCAGATGCCAATATGTGATCTAAGGACAAGAGATTCTGCCATGCAATGGTATATACTATCTTTAAGCTTTTGCCTGCATTGCTACAGTGTTGCTTAGGACTCTCTGCGAAAGCAGGGAATGAGGCTTTTAAGAAGTAAAGATTGTGGCTGTGGAGCATCATCCCATTAAGAACTAGTTTGGCCTGATGCATGGAGAAATAAGTTGTACAGTTGTATAAAAGGAGACCGTGGAAAGCAGCTTTCTTTGAGTCAAGGGCAAGCCTTAGATCAAGGATTCCTTACAATGTCTAGGAAGATTATTAGGTTCAAGTTAAGTCATAACTAAAAGACTTCTTTCAACTTGTACCATGGACTTTGGTTATTTTAAGTCTCATTAATACTGTTAGCTAGGGAAGAGGCAGAACTCTTTGAACGTTCCTTCGCGAGGCATACTCTCCTTGTTCCAAACCTCTCTTCCAAAACTTCTTTCTGAAGTTATTTGTATGACATTAATCTCTTGAAATCAGTATCTAATGTATGCATGTGATTTGGTTTTAGGATGATTCCTCTCCAGAGTTTATTTTTGAATGGAAGGATGCTCTTTTCCAGTAGAAGATGGTGATCCTAATGTATGATCATGGAGAAGGGGATAAGTTCAGTAGAAGTGTTACCTTCCAAATCATCTCAGGTTACAGCTGTAAAAGTGGTGGTCAAAGAGCCCGAAACAAAGCAAACCCAAAGAGGGAAACGAGTGGGATTTGTGCTTGTCCATGCAGGTAAGATGCAGAAGCGTAATGGCTGGAATGGAAATAGTGCATATACAAACTAAATATCAACTAAAATTTCATACTGGCTTTGGACTACTGGTATATAAATGAAGTGACATTAACTTTGGATGTAAATCTAGGAGTGGAGAGTTTGATTGGAAGTTGCATTGGCTGGAGGATCTTGGAACCTGTTAATAAAAATGTAGGGGTTTGGGTTTTCTGAATGGTATTTTTTTTTTTATTCCTTGACAAAGAAGCGCTCTCCCCCCCCACTTCCTAAATTAACTGCAGAATTTGACATTTTATAACCATGTATCTGCTAAGCTTGGGAAATAAAATGTGAGAGATCTTTCTGTCTTATTTCTTTACCCTACAGAAGAATCAAACATAGCTGTTTCATGAGTGACGGTTTCTTGTCTAACTTGTCCGACGGACAGTCTAATTAAGACTTTTTGAAACCTCCTCAGGCTGTTTGTTGCAGAACTTCACTTTTTTTACCCTTTTCAAAGTTTTCCTCCAAGTCTAATTTTTTCAATCTTGTTCGTATTTAAGTGTATTACTGTTTATTCTTTCCACATGTAATGAAGAGGTCAGCTACTCAGATGTGATACAAAAACGATGTTATGTGTGTCTTGCTCATAAATTCTTTTCTAATAGGTTCTTTCTTAATTACTATTAACCTTGAAAATATTAGCGATGCTTATATCTGGCTGTATATTTGTTTTTAGCGTATGTGTGATGACATGAGGTGAAACTGAGCAAAGTAACCTGGTGGCACCTAAAATATTTGAAAAACCAACATGCTACTTGGTTTATAAAATCCTTAAGGTAAAAAAAGCCAACAGAAACCTCAAAGAAGCAATTCTGGGTTGATACTTGATGACCCTGCTATTCTATTTTAAGAGCAAATAGAATTGTTCAATATCCTGTCCTTTACTGAGTTACTTTAAAATTCTTTTTCTTTCACTAGTACTGTTAAAACTTACTTTATTAGAGTTTGTCAAAGCTAACATTTCTAAAGGTGAGGAAAGGTAAGTAGAGATAAATACATGCACATTTTTTCAAGTTCAAAAACCAGGAAGACAGAAGTGGAATTTAAATATTAGTGTGCTAGTCTCGTCTGCTACTTTTCTGATGCTGCATTTAGTCGAATAGTGGGCACTGATAAATTTTTCAGGTATGGAAGTAGGGGGCAGTGGCTGCAAAACAGGGCAAAATGGTTAGATGCAATGGGATAGACATGAAGACTGAAAATGAAAAAGATAATGAGAAATATTGTATGATCTTTATTTCAAGGAACTTTCCTGGTTCTAAAGCAGAAGTAATGACCTCTAAAAATGCAGCATAAACACAAGAAGATGAACAGAATGGTAATTGCCAGCTTGTAAATCAGTTGTAAAAGGAAAATTGAAGTTTGACAAGGTTTTTACCCAATAACGGACAATGAATAAAAAAGCTATGCTGGAAATCCTGCAAGAATATGCAAAACTGGGATCTCTTGGACTGTGTTTATAGGAAGAGATTGTATGATGCTGAGATTTATACCTGTATGCTTCTGCATGTATGCGCTGTGTCCTATATTTTACTGGGTGTATTTGAATCAATGCTGGAATGCATATAAATTGTTAATAATTGATACAAAAGTGAAATGCCCATGTAATCCAGGCTGTATCTGCCCGTATCTTAATTCTTTATGTGAACTGTAGTCTGTACTTTGACAGATAGTATAATCTCTTTTCCTTTTGCCTTAATTGTAGGTGCAGGTTATCATTCCGAATCCAAAGCTAAAGAATACAAGCATGTGTGCAAAAGAGCCTGTCAGAAGGTATGTCTTACCAGTTACAGAGTCTTGCAGTGGGTATACAAGAATTATATTCGGTAGCACTATTCCTTCAGTGTGAACGGGCATATCTGGGTTTAGCTACTCCGGCTGTATGCATTTCTAGAAGAGAAATGGAGCAGCAACAGTTAATAAGATACAGAGTCAATAGAGTGCGTGGCCGCGAGGTGCAGCAACATTCTCGTCCGTGGCAGACACCAAAGGAACAGGAGAAGTTCACAGTGGTTCCTACACAGAGTATTCCTGCAGCTTCCTGCACTGGGATTTCTGGAGCACTGGGATTTCTGAGGCACTGGGATTTCTGGAGCTAAATTTCTTTCATCAATGTCCACTCTTTTTGGAATTTACTTAAACTCTAGCATCCAGATTGCTCTGTGAATACAGGCATTTCTAGAATTCTTTTCTTCTTGATAGTTCTTCTTAATAGAAAGGGAGGTAGAAACAGAAAAAAACCAGAACAAAAAAAATCAAACCTCTCTTCCCAAAGCTGGAAAGGGAGAAATGGCAAGACTTTCATTTACATGGAAGTTAATTATTTTTTTTTAATGTCCTCCAAGAACTTAGCTTTGGAACTGGCAAGTCCGATCTACTAAGTGTTGAACGAGATGCTGGAAGACCTCTCACCAAAATTTCTAATGCCTTTTGCTTTCTCCAGGGAGAAGGAGCTGGGGAGCTTGGCAGGCTTTTTAGAAGAATCTCAGAGTTGGCCTCTGATAATTATCACTTCATCTTACAGTTCTCTTGCTCAATTCTAATACCGATCTAATTTTGTAATGAGAAGCTTCAAAAATCATCCAGACTTAACACTAGCTCCATTAAAGTTGTGCATTAGCCCTGATGATACTAATTTTCCAGCTAATTATGTGTGAGAAAAGGTTGTTTGCTGTTGAATTTAAGTCTAATTTGCGATTCCATTTGGTTCCTTAAGCTAGGTAGCCAACATAAATAACTTGTACAAACAAGTCTCAGGTTTGTCTTGCAACTGAAGATGCAGCCATAGTTGTTTTCTGGGGTTCCCTGAGAGTGCTTGACTATAAAGTCTTGTCCACTATGGATCTAAGAGATAATATTAGGCTCTAGAAGTTCATTTTTGCATGCATATATAAAGTAACTTTGTCTTGTTTGATTTGTTTTCATGTGTTGGCTTTTAGATGAGCTTACTGGTAGATTCTGTTCAATTTCATGATAATTGCCATATGTGATACTAGGGATTTTTGTTGTATCTTGGAAAGAAAATCAGAAACTTCTTGACTGAAACATTAACTGTTTGAGGACATCAGGTATAAGAATTTATTTTGCTATAAATTTGACCATGCAGGAATCTGCTACTTAATGCAGTGTTTTGCACTGTTTGAGTAGTAGAATCATGCTTTCAGATCTGCCCTTGCATGGTGCATACTGACTATTTCCAGTGCCTCTTGTTTTTACGTCCTCTTAGGTTTTAAGCTAATTTGGTGAAGATTTTCTTTTGTACGACACTAGGAAAACTAGTCATAGACTATTAGAATTTCCTAATCATTAACTAAAAATTCTGTTTTACAGGCAATTGAAAAGCTACAGGCTGGTGCTCTTGCAACAGATGCAGTGACTGCAGCACTTATAGAATTAGAGGTATGAATTTCAGACTGGTAGCAAATGTGTCTCAAGTACATTGCTAGATTTTTCTGTAGGAAGGTATTAATTCAAATGGCAAATCTACTGAGATTTCCATTTTTGTGTCTTATACTTAGCATAGCTTCCGTGTCTGCACAGATAACTAATTTTATCTTTTGTTTTTCCACTGTATTTTGGAGTAAATCTATTTAAAGACTTTCTAAAAATTCAAACCAAGTAAAAGTTATCTAGTTGGTGCAAGTTGGTTGTCATCTTAGGTATGCCTTATCAGATCATTTTTAACCTTCAAGAATACTGTGATTAAAGACTTATCAAGCACTTTGTAGGGAACTTTATTTCTGACTTAACACGCTACAGGTGGACCGCACTGGCTCTGCTTCTTACACAGGGAAAAAAATCAGGCTACTGGTCACATATGTTAACTAGAAATTCTAGGATAAGCCCTCATTTCTTTTGTTTGCATTAATATCTCACGCTTAGTTGTGCTTCATTTCTTGAAATTATGATCCCAAGAATTTAGATATAGTTAGTCTTTAGTAGTTCTATTAACACTCTCATGTAATTACATTCACGTAACTGTCTCTGAGCATGCTTTCTTTGGTTGTGTTATTCGTACCTTTTTCAGTTCTTTGGGATAACTTTACAAAAGTGGGATAATTCTACAGAAGCAATTGCATAAATTTAAGGCTGCTTGTCTCTCCATCCAATTAAAGTACTCTATGAAAGTGAAGTAGGAGTTTTAAGTTCCCCTTTGTCCCACAACATACTTTTGCTATGCGCTTAAATCAGTGTGGTTCCCAAAGGCTTTTTTCTTACATTTTTTCCTTTGTTTCCCTATGGTCTCTGATAGGATAAAAGACTAGAAGCGGGCTGTTCAGAGAAATGTGGCTTCAGTGTAAGATAATGCTTTTTTCTGATACTTATGACAAACTGTGTGTAGAAGAATAGGACAAGTAATGCTTTTATTTCAAAATGGTACTTGTTAAGATAGGAAATCTTGCTAATCATAAGGAGGTGAGCAGCAGTTTGTGAGGTTTTTGGAAAAGTGTCTTTTGGGAGTGGTGAAATTTTTACAGCATCTGACTTTAGTGAAGGGTCTCTATGAAATAATGTAGAAGAGAGTAAAGCTAAAAGAATTTCTGGGATATAAATGAGGCAGTTTGGTCATTGTCCCGGGTCCATTAATCCCTCATGGCAGTAATGATTGAAACAGGTATTCCTCTTCTCCTGTAAGGAGTAAGTGCTTCTTCCTCTCCTACTTTCTTAGGAAAGAAGGAAGGCAAGGCAAGTGTTGTGCTAGAAAAATAATTTCCTGGATTTAGAATTTATGGTAGTATTCTGAGAGGATTAGCAGTGGATTTGCTTACACGTATGTTGGGAAAGTGTTAATTAACACACTTGGTAGAGTTAGCGTCAGGCAGGCAGTACATACTTTAGTATGTGTTAGACATGCTGACTAGGAGCCAAGACTTCAGTCATGCTTTTAACTTGGCAGGCTTCTAGGCTTTAAACAGTACTTTTTGGTCTCCACTGCAGTGTTCAAATATGCTTTCATCTGTTACCTTACCTTTTGTTTCTATATTCTAATGTGTATCTCTCTCTAATGGAATCATGTATAATGCACTTCCATAACCTAACTGAGGCTGCTGTTACTCCACAAGATTGTTTAGTGTGTCAGTTCCCTCCTCAGTGGGGAAAAAACCTATCTACTTTATGTTGTGTTTTTTGTCCTGTTCCTGAGGTACACAGAAGAAAACATATTTTAAGAAGCTTAACTTAACAGCTATATATCTCTCTGCAGTTGTGGCTGGGGTAAATATTTTTTCTAGTTTTGTTATCCCCAAGAGACTTTTGTTCAATACTTTGAAGTTGCATCTGTGGAAGAAGTTACAGCTTTAAGATGAAATTAAAACCTTTTCATGAAATTATTCCAATCAGAAACCTTTTTCTCCTCATCTGTCTTGCTACTATTCTGGTGATGCCTGCCATCATTCCACTTTCTGGTTTTATAATTGTCTTAGGTGGTATTTTTATGTGTACTGTTGCACAAAACCTTTTTTTTTTTTTTTTTTTTTTCCTTTTTCCTGTTTTTAAGATTAAATACTGTTTTGTTCAGGTTGTAGTGCTGTCACTAATGTAACTTCTGGCTTTCATTTATTCATTAAGTGATTTATATAATCTCTTGATTGTGGGTTGTTCTCTCTGTTACTGCGATAAAGAATATTGGGTTTGGGACTTAGGTTTCTTTTAAATTAAAGTGCGTAGCTAAGTAGTTACATTGAGGGAAAAATCAAAGGTATACTCAAAACAGAAAATAGTGTGGTTTGCAGTGGCAGTTTTTTTGGTCCGGTATGAGAAATTCGAAAGTGTTAGGCTATCACCTTTCAAAATGCTGAAAGGTTTGTAGCTACTCGTACCTCGCTCTGAACACCACCTCCAGGCATCTCTGTCATTTCTAGAGCTGCATCTTCACTATGATGTTTTTCCTATTGCTGTATGGAAAACAGAAACTGTATGTGGCAAGTCAACAAAGCAAACAGAATATATTTTCTCATCAATTACAAAATTCTAGAAATGAAAATGTAGGTTTGTATGTTGACCGTCTCTGTAATGAGCTATCAGTACCCTTTTGTTTATGCAGAAGAAAATAGTGACTTTTCATAAAGTACTTTAGCATTTTGAGCTGGCGAATACGTAGCGAAAATCTCTATGGAAACGATGTTTACATGTGTTACTGTAATACAGATTAAGATGCAGAACAACAAAAGTTTGTATAACGTGATAACGGATTCCATTGTGGGGTACTTTTTGTAACTTCTTGATATTTTGGTTGCTGTAGAACACATTGCTGTGAGTTTGTCTGAAATATTGAATCACTTCTACAGTTCTCTAGGATTATTAATGCTGTTTTCCAAAAATCTATAGTCTTTGCAAGGCACAAGTATCTTTTTGTGGCAGTGTCACAAAAGGTGATTTTTTTTCCTCAGTTCTGCTCAATTACACAACTCCTGTTACACAGAATTTCAGCTAATCCAAGAGGCATCACTTCAAAGACTTGTTGAGGCGCAAGACTTGCTCTTGATCTTTTATGAGCAAGCTGACAGTTTGCTTGTGGTATGCTGTCTGTTTTTTGTTTTATTTTTGCAGGCTCTAAATGGAGAAGGAACAACCTTTCATTGTGGGACTATATGAATCTCAAGTGAAATAGTGTTCTGTGATAATAATCCTAATAGTTAACTAGAGAAAAGGTAGATTTCTTTTGCAAACTAACAAGAGCAGCTGACCCAGAATAGGGTTAAAATAACTCTGCTGGTCTTTGTAAGCATCAGCTGTATTTGATAAGTTGATTAAATGCAGTTATGTTTTCCAGTTTGTGAACTCTGTCATTGCAGAGAAACAAATGAACATGTTACCTCTTTCAGCTTTTGGAATTAAAATGGGTCTGGACAAAGTGCTTTGTAAGACTCATCACGTGTACTGTATTGCTTCTACAAAGACGTGATCGCAGTACCATTTCTTTTTGCATTCTTGCTATCAGCCACCATATGAAGTCTGATTTTTCTCTTGAAACATAACTGGATTTGGGCAGCTTTTTGGGGGAGGAAGTCCCTCTCCACAACTTGTGGTTTTCAACAAAACCAATGCTGATTGCATTGATGGCTGGCTGTGAGAACAACGTACGATCCCAAGCTTTTCTTGACTATAGAGCCCTTCAGAAAGTCTACTGTTCAGGTACTGGAGACGAGAACATAAGTTTGTTGTGAAGAATGATGAAGATTTCAAACTTTTTCTAAGTTTAGTGTAAGTTTATTAACACTCGGTATAGATCACTTGTATCTTTAATCTGACTTCATTAGAATGTTTTTTATGAACAGTATTTAAATTGGAAATTAATATGATTGATGGGGAAGCAGATGTTAAGTTTTGGGTTTTGATCTCCTTGCTACTGAAATTGCTCACTTTGTGTTTTTTGTTGTTGTGGATCAATGCAAAGGATATTTTGATCCTGTTGGTATACTCAAGTGGTGGGTTTGTGTGGCAGTCAGCAAAATTGTGCAGCGAAAAAACTTGTTTCTTGTTGAATCATTTTCTCTTTGGTTTTGTTCATTTATTAATTTTATAGTAATTAAGATACGATCTTAGTCACAGGGACTTCTCTTTAAAGAAGAAAACACAATGCCAGCAGCCTTGTTGTATTGAGGCAGTCACCGTAGATGAACTTTTAGTGGGTAATGAACTGGAAGTTGTTAATTCTAGTCCAAAGCAATACTATGATGCTTTGCAGCAGAGTGGCTAACAGTCATCTGTGACAAAAGTGTTCTTTAAAAACATTTTAGCTGGTTTAATTGAAAGGGACATGACTCATCCTTGTAGACTATTACTTCTTGTCACTTAATTCCCTCAGAAAAATAAATTTTAAAATTACAGTGTGTAAAAAGAAATGCCTGTAGACTTTGAATCCCTTTTAAAAGAAGTTGCAAGTAAACCATGGCCAAAACTATATCAAAGATGATGGATGGAATGTTCTTTAACGCATGTTGAAAATGGAGCATTTTAACTATTTGCCTAGATGTAATTCAGGACTATTAGTGTTACAGTGTTGAGTAACTTCTCCAAGCGTTCCAACTTTGACCACAGCTAGAAACTTCAGCATGCCTGTGTTTGCTGTCAGAACATTTATAAATGCATCTTGAAGTAAAAAGCATTCTAAAAATAAAAATTATAGCCTTGGTAGCTTGAAAGTTTTTACGAGGTGGGCTAACTTGGGAAAATGAAATTCTTGTGTCACATCTTAAAGCTTTATATTATCTATCTCCTTTGCTACAGGTTTACGTTGTAAGTTAGAGATACTTCAGTGGTGGAGTAATTGCCAGGTAGTCTAGTATTTTTCACATAATTGAAAGCTTATGCTTTGTTAAAATGCTTTGAATAGCCATTTGTTTGTCTTTTCCCTCTTCTTTTTTTACTTTTCTATGGTAGTAGGGCTTGCTGTTAACATGCAAAGCTCATGCTTGGTTTGCTTTCTTATCTTTTTTCAGTCTCCTTAGAAATACAAAGGCTGATCTCTGCTTGTGTTTTTAAATAGAAGTATATTCCTGAAGATGCCTTCTGTATTGTAAACCTTTTCCTCCTTTGCCTTCTTTCCCTTCCTCCCTCTTCTTGGATACCTGCTTTGATTGAGTTCTTCCCCATCCTATGGTAGTCATATAGTTCTTGCAGTACTGCATTCTTCTGTCTGAGTGTATGAAGAGACTGCTTCACTTAGCTTGGTTTATTTTCTTCTCCCTTTGAAAGCATGCCTGCTTCTGTTTTAATGATGTTTCCACATTCCTTGAAGGTTTTGAATTTTCCCTTCAAAATACACCATAATTTTCGTAAGTTGTGTTCCTCCATTCGTTTATCAGGGTCTTGAAATCTTTTCGTCAGACTTTGTGGAGATTCATGCTTTCAAAAAGAGGTGTATTTACGTGGTGTATTTCATGTCCTTGCCTATTCATAAAGTAGGTGTGAATTTCTGTTTCCATTTTTTTATAAAGGTTTTTACCTTTATAAAAGCCTCATTTCAAAGGCTTTATATCTCATCTCAGAGACACTCAGGTAGGTATCAGAAATTCCGTGCGTTCACACCCAGTTCCTGCACTGTCTAAAGCTGTTATCAGATTACCTTTCCGATCTGTGAAGTTAAAGTAGACCGTCTTCCTCTTGGCAATTCTGAGACCATCTTCTTAATTGAGTGCAATCTGATTGTAAAGCTAAGTAGCCACCAAAGCAACATCGACAATTTTGTTGGTGTAGAGTTCTTATTTATCCAGTATTCTGTAGTATTCCGATAAATGTTCTGTAGGGAGAAACAGGTGGCTTTCCCTGTGTCTTGAGGTCCTCTGCATGAGTTGTCTCTTGGTGCCTCCTCGATGTTGTGCAAGTGAAGGTGCTATGCCAAAGCATCAAGCACATCTATATTTTTAGAAATAAAGTGAACTAGTGCCACTCTGTATCCTGTATTTTTTTCCCTACCCTTTGGATTATTATGTTTATCCGATGGTAGGGAGCTTTGTCTCTTGTCTGCAGAAGGATTCTGGACAGTGTTACTAGGACTTCTTACTCCCTTTATTTGGCCATGACGTCTGCTTTTAAGATAACAACTGTCTTTGCTCTGTGGCAGTGACAGATCTGTGGAGCACGAAGTTTTTCCTCTTTACTAATGCCTTTGAGTATAGTGCACTGAGCGAAAATTTTTGGAGCAGAACATAAGAAATTTGTCTCCAGGCTTGCACTCTGATTACCTATGGCCAAAGAATTTGGACAGTATTAGGAGTAAGCAATGTTCATCCTAATGCATTCCTGGTTTTACTTTGTCCTCCAGGTACCTTTCGCAGTTTGTGTTCGGATTACTTCCATCACTTCTCTGCTCCTTTTGTTCTAAACTTCACCAACTTAATTTTCTTTCTACTTGTAGAGCCTGGGCAGCAATGAAGTTGGTAAAGCCAGCAGCTGCTCTGCACTCTTCCACCTTTTTGGGGCCATCATTTTGGTAGCCGTGTTTTTAATTATATTCCCTCTCCTTCCCCCTTCCAGGGAAAGTTATTCCTTGTGCACTAAACTGCAAATGTTTCGTTATCCTAAAATCTTTTCGAATTTACTTATTTGCTGTGAGGCATAGCTGACAAAATGAACACCACAATGAATATACACACTGAATTTGAAGACGTGTTGTGGTGTGGGATAAAATCGGATCGGTTAAAATGGGATAAAATCTTGTGCTATCTCTTGGATGCAGAAAGAAGAAGCAGAAATTAAAGATAAGTAGTATAAAATGAACACAGATTACAGTCTGTTTCATGATTATGTATTAATCATGTATTATGTATTCATGGTTCTTCAAGAAGATAGCATTTTGGTGACTCATACTAAGAATGCTTTAAATATCTCTGTAAATTAGAATCAACATCTTTCAAAGCAGGTTTTGAATTTACTCACTACTTGCTCATTTGAAAGTTAACAAAAGCTAACTGACTTACTAACATAAAATTTATTTTTCATTTCTGTGTTCTCTCTCTTTCGTTTCCTTGTATTCATTACAAATTAGTATGTACAAAAAAAAAAACCGAGTTCACTGAACATTTAAGACGGAACTTTGAGCTGTTTCCAGTAGATTTGTTTCATGGTTCAGCTTTTATGTGTATTGTAAAAGTATGACCATCTGGTTTCATTGACGTTTTCACATGTGGTCTAGACAACCATTTTTCTTTGTTGCATCAGGTTGTTACGCTGTTGTAACAAAAACAGATATGAAACTCTGAAAGCATGCAGCGTCTCTGAAATGTTACTGTTTGGCTGTGCTGGGCTGTTATCTTCCTTTATCCTGTACTCGTTTTGTGCTTGAAAGGGGATTATACTGAGCTGGCAGTGAGACTCCCGAACTATGCTACTTTGAAATTTTGTGGTTTTAAAGTCATGGGGATGCACTGATGAAATGGGTGTTTTTAATTCTAGCATGCAAAGCTCCCTGTTTGAGAACCTTGAGTTTGCAAAAAGCTACAGAAGGTGCTAATAAAAGAGGAGTTAGGTTTTTCATTAGTTTATTAAATGTTGTTCCATACTTTTTATGAAATATTGCTTGGTTTTTATTCAAGAAACTTCCAGACTGCAGTTATGACTGTCCTTATGCTAATGATCAAGTAGAAATTTTACGAAGTGAATTGTTACTGATGCCGATTCTTCATTTCTGCATGCAGAGCTGCAATCATAGCTTAGAATGTTAAGGGAAGGTACAGTTCTGGTTTGCTGTTGTGTCATACTTAAGAGTTTCAAAGGTAGACTGATCTGTGCAGTGATCATTTGATGTTACTTAAATGTTACTTGACGGGTTAGGGACCAAATGAAGCGTGTATTTTGGGGAAGGGAGAGGTTTTCACTCGTGTTCTAAGGCTTTTGCTTGCATGTAAATGATCATAAATTGTTGGGTGATTGGTTTTTATATTAGCGCATTATTACACTTGAGATCTATCACACCCTCTAGAGGGTATAAAGTAGCCATTGTAGTAATTTGAGATGCCCAGGTCAAATTGCTGTTATTTTTGTCGTGGAGGATGAAACTACTAGAATAAGTGCACTATACCAAGATCAGTGTTGTCAGATAGTTATACATAGGTTTTGATCTAGTCTGTTATGGATGTGGCCTTATAGTGTTTTGTTCTTATTTTTAGGATTCTCCTTTTACAAATGCAGGATTGGGGTCTAACCTAAACCTTCTGGGTGAGATAGAATGTGATGCCAGTATAATGGATGGAAAGTCATTAAATTTTGGAGCAGTTGGAGCACTGAGTGGTATGTTAACTATGTATTATAAAGCTAACTACGGATTTAAGTGTAAAGATCAATTTTGTTCTTTTTTGTTATTTTTTTGGAGGGGGGTGTCATTGTAAATACTGCCCTGTTTAAATAAATTCTGCCCCCTTTAAAAAAAAAAAAAAAAGGGGAGGCCTTCCTGCTACCTGAAACGCTGGTTTGTGTTAATTTGCTTTGTGTAGCGTATTCTTACTAGTTTTCTGGTAATCCTTTGATGCAGAACAATCCTTTGATACTATACAGTATTCACAATGGGAGTGAATTTGCTCAGATTGATTTATAGAATGATAACTTTCTAATAAAATGCAACTAAATATATATTAAAAAAAAAAGTACAAGCATTTAAATTAAGCTTTATATTTGTTTTTGTTCTCTGACTCCTCAAAGAACTTACTGGCATATCAGTCATAAGACCAATTGATATTTTGGTCTCTTAGTTAAGTTGGTCAAATTAGGATCCTAAGGGACCAAAGTTTCCTTTATAGTGTGAGAAGGCTATGCAGGGTGCTAGCCTCCAAACTGAAGCCTCTCATGTATTCTTGAGAAAGGGAGCAGTTGCTCATCTGTCAAGCTGTTTGCTTGGGATATAAAATTTCTGTATACCACAGATTTTTTTTTTTCATTATAATTTCTCCCACATGATCAGTTACATTTGGATTTATTTTGTGTGATACTGTTATACGGTTAGATACATTTGCATATGGATGTATTTAATCTGAGAACTAATGTGCCTCTCTTTTTTTGTCTAGTTTTAGCTTTCAGTGCAAAAAATATAGGCATACAGTCCCAAGTAGGGATTGTTCAGGTTTTCTCATCAGTACATTGAACAGCGTTAACTGTAACTATTGAATAGCTTTTCTGACAATGTTTCAGGCTTTGTTCTTTATCCTAGAGTAGTTCTAAACTGTGGTAATAACTTCCTCATGTAGATATAAATCTAAAATAAATAGTAAAATTAAGTGTTTCAAGGCTTGTTTGTTACAAAATGTATCCTTCCAACCATGGGCAAGGAGGAAATGAGGCAGTGAGAGAAAACTAAGTCTGAATCCTATAATCCCTGTTCTGGCCAGATAGATCCAAATGAAAGCTCTTTCCATCTTGAAAAATTAATGCTTGTAAACCATCTTTGGCCTGTAGAATACCACAGATTTAATCTGAGATTTCTGTGGTAGGAGGTCACTCCTAATATTTCAATATAATTCTTTTTCCTTTAAAAAAAAAATGGGGAGGAGGAGGGGGGATGTTGATTAAAAGGTCTTGTCACCACTGATGGGACATGTGAAGGAAAAACTGATAAAGTTGTTATTAAGTTAAAACATAACACCACAAGGTGTCTCTTCATTAATTGGCAAAGCCTTGGAAATTAAAGGAAGCTGACTTCCATTGCCAAAATGAACTCTACAATGCTACGTGGAAAAATATTTTAATGTTTTGTTCCCATTTTTTGCTAATTTTTCTTTTCAGGAATCAAGAATCCAGTTTCAGTTGCAAATAGATTGTTGTGTGAAGGGCAGAAGGGAAAACTCTCTGCTGGCAGAATTCCACCTTGGTAATTGCTTTGTTCTGCTTGACTTTACTTTGGTCTTTCGTCTCTACTGCATGCCATATTCGGAGGTTGTATCTTAGCCCAAGAAGGCTGGTGCTGTTTTACATACCAGCGATAGTGTGCCTTTAAAAAGAAGATAAGCTTTGTTCTCTGATCTTGAAACATCTTGATGAAGCTGTGGGTAGAATGAAGTATTGTGAATAGATGGCCACATCATTTTGTGATAATTTCTGTCTGTGTGATTATTTCCAGTTATGTCATACTGAATTCTTAAGTTTTTTTACTGTAGCATTTTGAAAAATCCCTAAATACATGAAAATTAAAATGAAACTCTACTGCCTGTGCTTCTGTCTACCTTTAAAAAAAGCAGCATAATTTTTAACAAGTATATAAAAAAATCCTGCTTTACTGCCTGTCTTCGTGGCTTTATTTTGTAGCTATGGTGTGGAAATGTGCAATGTTTAGTAACTTTCTCTTATCTTAGCCAAAATAGGGAAGTTATTTTAAAGATAAATTTAATAGTATTTACAACAACAATGGAAATATGCACTCCTTTATTGAGATGGGTATAATACTTAGATGGAAGAGATAACTATTAAATGCATAGTAACTTCAAATATTTTTGCATCATTTTGGAAAGAATCCAAGAAATGTCAGAATCAATTGCCCTTAAAACCATCTTATTCTCATTAGCAGTTTAAATCGACAAATAGAGAACTCAAATGACCGATTCATATTAATTGACTGCTATCCTCAGTTATCATACCCACTGCAGACATTTGCTATCATTTGCTAACTAATGGACTGCAGTATTTGCAGATATATTAAACTAGCGCGTATGTAGTTTAAAATATGTATATTTAGATTCACAAATTTTACTTTCCTTACTATGTTACTCTTATTCCAAGTAGTCTTATATATTCCAAATAATCTTACCCAAATAGTATAATATTCCAATTTAAACAGTGAGGAAAAGCACTATTTCAGTGTTGTGTCATGCTGCAAAGGAAGGTCATAAATCAGAAAAAGCCACCCTGAAACCATACCATCAACAAGCAGAATTTGCATTTAAAACTGTTTTCTTTAATGAAAAAAGAAAAGAGTAACTGTAGTTAGTGAGATAACTTTTTTTTTTCCAGAGGAGACACTTACTAAGGAATAGGAACTTGAATTTCGATTGCTGTTAGTAGCTCATTTCTTTAGATGTCAGGAGAAGGCCAGGGCTTAGCTGAGTTACGTTAAAGAGAGCATCAAATGTGGTGGGTTTTTTGGTGTTCCAGAACTAGTACTGAAGTCAGCTCCAGGAGCTGTGATTTAGTTTTGTCTGTATCACCACAGTGTTTTCTCAAATTGTTGTAAGGAAGAGCACTTGGGCATTTTAGCATGCTTGCTGTAACTTCATGACTTAGTTTATGTTGCTGCTATTTTAAAAATAACTGAATAGAAAAGAAACTATATCCTCTTGCCCTCAAAGGACAAGACTAAATCTTTCAAACACTGTGCAAGGTCTTGGCTAACAGATGCTTTTGAAGACAAGGGAGCTCAAACTCTCAAGGTGACAGGTGAACTGTCTTCGGAGCCTACACGTACAGTTTATTGTGCAAACATTGTGGACCTGAGTTTCCTAATGCATATTTTAATTTCCTTTTCTCCATTCTGGATTTTGAAGGTGTATTTTATTACAGCACATTAGTTACCCTGGGAACCATCTATACTAGTGGGATACGATGGGTTGTACTTCAGACTTGCTTTGGTAGATGCTCCTGTACGTACAGGGTATCCCAAGCTCAGAATGGTAGAGCTCGTGTTGGTTTTAGGTGATGACTATTGACAATTTCATACCTTGCCTTTCTGGCTGGGTTTGGCATGACACATTGTTGTTTTGGGACTGAAATATATTCCTGCACCAGCTGGGAATACATATAGTCAAATAATAAGAGAGCAGTTGTGTTTTTGGCGTTCCTACCACATGTCAGGAGTTTAGTAACTGATTTTTATTTGTAAAGATACGCAAGTTTCATCTTGTTTCTCATGGGCAAATAGTGTATTGGGGAAACTTTCCGATACTACTTAGCCTAAAACCCTGTCTTGTTAAAGAAACCTAGTGGCAGAGACTGTTTCTATAGTATGATCTAAGCTAGCTTAATGTTTTCTGGCCAGAATGTTTGGCACACAACCACACAAGAAAAATTCAGGAACTGTGAGATTAGTAAAAGTGGCATTATGGAGATTCTTGCCTGTAAAAGAACATATGGAGGCAGTTAGTTTGGCCTGTTTACCCCTGTTCAGCACCCGTTTTTAAAGTGACAGTTCAAAACCAGGTCAAAGTGGAACATTTCTAATTTTCAGTAGAAGAAATTCAAAAGGCTGTGGATTAATTTATTCTGAGGTGGTAAAGGAGTGATCAAGTGTCCTAACTGATGTATCCACTTTGCTGTAAATTGCTCTGTAGAGTATGTCATTCTGGCTCAGTATCTTGGTGTCCTGTTTCAACCACAGAATTCCACTATCCAAATTAAAATTTAAAAAGTTTAGAGAATCCCTGAATGCGTGAGTGCGTTTGTTGAAACTTCTAAGGTCCTTACATAGTTCTGTCATATTTTATTCAACTTGATGTTGTCAGGATTTTCTCTGCCTGTATATGCAAGAAGAGAAAATACTGAACTTGTAAATTTTACGTGCTATCAGATAAGATATTCCTGTTTATTGTATAACTTTACAAAAGAAAGCACTATTATAATTGCACAATTACATATTAGATGGATCTTTGGAAGTGGTCTTTGATCACAGAATAATGGATTAGATGTTTTGTAGTAATAAATTTGAAGTTTTCCTATTTCTTATGTTGAAACGTTGACCTTCCGAAGAGAAAAGGCTTATTTACATCTGTTCGCTGTTAACTGTAGGTATGTAAGATTACAGGATGGTACGACTACACCTACATGTCTCCTTTCTTACAACTCCGTAATACTACTGATATCTAAGTTGATGTCTGTATCCCTTTTTCAGTATCACTAGTAACCCATATAGGAAAGAATCCCTTCGTAAGGGTTTTTCCCTCCTTGGAGTATACAGGGATTTGTAATTGTTTCAGTTTTACGGCGCTGCAGGCAAGATACGTACCTTGTGTAACTCGTAGGGCAGTGCGTAATCCAGACAGTGCCTAGAGTGAAGACCTTCACAACCCTTTATCTGTTCTCTATTTCTTCAGAACAATTTCTTCTCTGTAACAGTGATTTCAGAGGGATTATTGCATTTTATAGTAAATATTACAAAGTGAGTTTGTTACATTCAGGATCGCCTTGACCATCTTTAAAGAAGCTAACCTTCTGCCACTTCTGTTTAGCTCAGCGTGGCCTGTCTCTGTACAGCCCATATTAAATTGTCCTGTTTGGAGCAAATAGTGCCAGGATAACCATGTCATTGGAGAAAATTGTCTAAAAAGACCATTTTTAGAGACCTTCGCTTGCACTTTCCGTTAGTATGTTTTAGTTTGCCTGGAACTGGAAAGTGCATCTAAGCGTCGGCTCCTTGCTGAGGCGATGTTTTCATCTCCTGTGTGTTCTGAGCCTATAACAACTACAGAATACTCTTCATTTGATACATTTGCCAGAAGGATGTTTGTATGTTGTTTGTGCGCAACCAATTTTCAGAGTAGCAGAGCACAAACTCATTCATCCTTTGGTTTTGGGGTTTTTTCCCGCCCTTTGGAAAAATATATTTTGAATTAGCCTAAAGGCTTTTCAGACTTAACGGGGTTTTGGCTGCTTTCTGTAGCCCACTGGCTTTATTCCCTATTTTCCCTCTCCCCCAGTAAGTCAAGCTTGGTGTTAGCTGTTTAGAGGTAGTTTTGGTTTTATGTCAGCTTAAAGTATTGCCCTGCTCATTCTTACCTGCTGCAGCTTTTCTACGTGGCTACGTGGATGATTCTCATGGCAAATAGAGCAGTTCCCTAGTGCCAGACTGCTGGTTCCCACGCTCTCGCCACACTGTCATCTGTGGCTGGGACAGGTGTGGCGGGGGGCGGGTGGCTTACCGGATCGCACAACTTGCTTTTTGTGGTGCTCTAAAGACTTTAGTCTTGCTTAGATTATGAATATTGGACTACCTGCAGAACTGAGTTCATGCTGTATGTCCTGTAGGAGTCTCTTACCAACTAGTTCGATATCAATTTATAGGAGTTACAGTATAGGTAGTACAGACAACAAAGCACTGAGATCCTGATTTTTTATTTTTAATTTTTTTTTGTAAACTGTTTACTTTTACTTTTCTGTGATTATTCTGTCCTTTCAAGACATCCGAACTGAAAAAAGTGGATGATTTCTGTGGTGTTATGGAGTCTCCATTGGATGTCAGCAGGAGATGTTGGCTTCAACTAATCTTTGGGACCAGAACTGGAAAATACTTTGTGCCCATCTTAGAGGAGGGAGAGGAATCTAGGAATTAGGAATGCAAGTGTGAACAAAGTAAAGGTCATATTACTGAAGTTTCGAGGCATTCATGGGTGCTTTTTTTGCACTCTTCATAAATGATAGTGACTGTTGCTGTGTTTTTAAGTATTAAAAAAGCAATTGTGAGATTGCTTGTAAAATGCAGTGTTTCTGGCTGATCTGTGCTATTCAAGTGATCATATATAAAACTCCTAATATTTGAGCTTGATACTTTCTCCATCTACCCTTCTTTTCTGTGTATAATGGTTTTACTGAAGAGGAATTGCTTCTTCGCTTCCTGAGAATGTATTGTTGATACAAAACTTTTCTTTTAAAGACCAAAACCTGCTTGTTTTAGTCAATGGAGAATAGCACTTAATTAGGTTTGGCTACGGTTTGCATTTCTCTCTTAAATTAGCGAAAGCGATAGGTTGTTTCTCAAGCACTAGCTTACCTAATAGGAGACGCTTGAGTTCTCCCACAGTACCTGGTAACTTATTCTGCAGTACCTTGCAACATGAACAACATTTATCTGAAGCTGCACTAATGGTAAGAAATATGTATCAAGATAAGAATCTGAATTGTTAAATAAAGTGGGGGTTTTTGAGATAAGACTGGGCACACCTCCTGTATTGGTTAAGTCAGAGAAGATAGAAAGTACCACCTCAAAATACTACATACTGAAAGCTGCAGGTGTCAGATATAGCACTGTCAAGAAAACTTCCAACAGCATTAATGTCAACAAATTTGCTGTATCAGTAACATTCTCAGAAATTGTAGAACTATTGGCCCCAGGGACGGCTTTGTAACTGAAGTAACTTCTTTAGCCTCATATTCATAATTCTGGTATTTCTGTAAAACTTTTTGAAATAGCTGTAAATCCTCAGGCTTTACTACTTGTGTCCATTAGGCAGTTGTGTTATCCTTATTTCGAAAGGGGGATATGAAGTTATGATTGGAAATAGTTGTCCTTTACTGTGTTGCTGTTAGTACTATTGTGCAGCAGCTTTCTGAAAATGTGTGATTTCCAACTGCCACATTCCTCTTTTCAGGGAATCAGATTAATTTATTTAAGGGGAAACAGTACAGATAACTGAGGCTTTTTTTTTCTCCAAAAAAGTTACATGTCTATATATAGTTTTTTTGCTATCGTTCATTGCCATAGTAGTGTGTACTATCTCTATACTGTAAAATGTTCAGTACTGACTAGAAAACAACCTCTCAAATTGTTGCGGTTTTTTTGCAAATATATTAAAAATTCGGTAGACTTGACTCATTTGCAAATACTTGATAAAACTCCATGAGACAGACCTTTATCCTTTTAAATAAGGCTTATTTTTAGCTTGTGTTGTACTTCTCAAAGGACTTTGTGATATTCCTGTGGCATTGGCTGACTTTACTGGAAATACCTTACCATTCTCGCCTCATTCATCCCACGTTGTTGGTCTTCAGGATCTTACTAAGTTGCAACAGAGAGCAAGACTAGACGGCTTTGTCCTGGTTTAGCTGCAATGAAAAGCTGGTGCTTTCAAATTTAATAGCAAGTTTTCTTATCCAGTACCAAACTTAATGTCAGAGCTGCATAGTCTTTTCATGAAACTATATAAGGTTGCCAAATGTAATTATAGCTGACATTTCTGTGAAATGTAGACAGCTTACAATTTTAAAATGACCAAACCAAATAGAAAAAATAATTGCAAGAAAAGGGGGATTTGTTATATGGTTTTGTTTAAACTCCCTCTTCTGTGTCTCCTAGCTTTTTAGTTGGTGAAGGAGCTTACAGATGGGCAGTTGATCACGGGATACCAGCATGTCCTCCAGGTATCATGGCTACAAGTGAGTAAACTGGTGGCGTCAGTAGGAAGAACAGGACAGAGTAATTTTAAATGGTGCCTCATCTTTCGAGGTATACATCACTTTACTGTTCTTAACATTCAATTAGCTTATGGTATTGTGGTATATAAGGATGGTTTAAGTTTACTTATTTTCTATTAAGTATCTAAATAGAAAAAAATCATAAACTATTACTTCAACTGCATTCTAGCAACATCTAATTCAAGTGAATTTGTGATTCTAGGATGAAATCCAATGAAGGACTTTTTTTACTGAAACATAGGCTCTTTAACAGCTCAGTCCTGCAGGTCTCCAGTTGTGATCCATCTTGGATCCTAAAAGCGCCAGCTAGCCTTGTATCTAAATTCAGCAGGTGCCAGTTTGACTCTCAGATTCTACAGTTACACCCATCTCTGAGTCTTTGTCCAGAACTGCTCTGGTCTAAACAGGCTGTCAAATTAATTTGCTGCCTTTTTTGTCTTGTTTGGTTTTTTTGTTTTTAAACCTAGACAGGCTTTGCTTCATCTAATATGGTGGAATAACCTGACCCAGAAAATGGACTTGGGTTCTACTGTGTATTAGCAGTAGTCAGGTCTCTCGCGAAACTTTTTCTTAAATTAATAGGCATGATTATGTTACATTGATACACCAGCTGTAAACTAGGCTACAAATTAGTGCACTTACCCATGCAAAGGAGGATGTGGTTCCCCTTCCTTCTGCAGTCCCTCTCCCTTTTGGAAAGTGCCTTTACTACTAGTCTGTAGTTTGCTATAGGCAAGAGCATGCCCTGCGCTTCCCGCTGAAGTTACGCAGGAAAGAAATCAGAGATCGTTACCCAAAGAAGAAGGAGAGCACAAAAGAGTACAAGACGTTTCTTTATTTTCTTTATTTTACAGTAAACGGTATTATTGCATAAAATACATGAGTATTCTGTAAACCAGAGATTGAAACCCAGTGCTCTCATTACGGCTTTTATTTGGTCTAGTTCTAAATGTAGATAAATGTCCAGAAATTGCAGTTCAAAGTTGCTAGTACTCAATGCTTAAATGTAACCCCTGAAACAGTGTCAGCATTTTACTTGATCATGCTAATTTTCATACATACTCATGATACATTTCATTTTGAATGGCAAGTTTTGATTTGTAGTTCCGCGTGACTGAAGCTTTTACCCTATCCATCTGCTGTCCAAACCAGCATTTGCAAACAACTTTAGGGCTCAGTTCAGCAGAACACCTTTATTTCCCTGACACTAGAAAGAGTAAAAACACTTAAAGGTTTGGGAGTTTTTCTGTGTTCTGTGGTGTTTTTTTAAGAAAGTAGTTACTAATTATGTGTAGGAGATACTCCAGAAGGAAGGTTTCTTGACTAACTCTGTTTGCATGCACAAAAGTTTCCATTGTTTCTAGTACCAGTGTGTTTCTGTTGTGACAAAGGTGATTAGATTGTAACAATAATGGACGAATGATATCTTACTAGCTAAAATGTACCCTAGCTAGAGCAAATCTACACGTTATGGCTTAAAAATAAGGATGACCATGGCTAGTCTGGTTTACCTAACCCAGAGTATGAATTCCCATTAGAGAAACATCAGAAGAATAATCCCAGCCAATATATTTTCACAAACCTGCTCCAAAAGATCAGTGATATATTTTTGTCTCCTCAGTACATTCAGCATACTTCTATTTAACAAAACAGTTTGCATTAAAACAATTAAAACAACCAGGATTGGGAAATTAATCCTATTGCAAAGTCAATGCAGAAATGCCATTTGCTGTTGCAATGTCAATGAAAAAAATATTGATATTAAAGTTGCCACCCCACCTCCGCTCCCCACACCCTCCGCTTTCAGCCAGGCTTGTACATACTGAAACACACACGTATAGGATTATATGCTTGAGCCATTGCACAGGACAGATCTGCTGTAGGGATGAACTGATGCTGTGAAGCAGGCTGTGACTGTTAAGACGTGAGCGTAGACTATGCAAATGTTTTGCTGGAAGAATGATTTCAGATTAGGGTAATTGAAGGATATGTTGAAAAACCTCAATCTCTGCCACTGATTGTCCATCAGATATTCTTTGTAATACTTAGCAAACTACTTAAAACGGAATTCTTCACAGATGTTCTCTAATTCTGTTGCTTGACCTTAGCATAAATGATACTCTGTGTCTAACTGGATTTACAGAAAGGAGGTATTTGACTACTACGGTCTTGTGCTTCAGTTTCCTTTGTAAAAAAGATGAGATGACAGTGTCTGCTATTTAAGTGCCTAAAATGGAGACGTAGGAGGACAATACTAGCTTACATTAAGACGGCATTATTAGCCATTCTGAGAGGTATCTGGGAAAAGATTGCTTGAGCAACTTAAAAGTTGTCATTTTTCCTAAGATTTATGTACACTTAATTTTGCAGTATAATCATTAATGGTAGTATATCTGATTTTTTTCTTTAAAAAATGAACAACACAAGAGGAAGAAAGAGCAAACAAAAAATTGAAAAATCAGTTCCAGGAGATGTAATGCTGATTTCCGTACCAGTCCATAGCAAAGCTAGTCTTGTAACACGTGGACTTGCGGTCAGCGAGGCTGTATAGTTATCATTTAACACCATGTGTGACAACATGGGATTGTTATAGCTGAAAAGAAATTGGAAACTGTCTTCACATGTGACATACAAAAAAGCCAAAATAGTTTTTTCCACTGTTACCAGGGGAGGAAAAGTTAGATGTGCTTAAGAAACAATTAAAGAGGATATTGTTTCCAAGCAACCACAAAAGATCTCATCTGAAGTGAGCTATTGCATTAAATAATGTAACAGACTTCAAAAAAAGGGAGATTTTTTTGATTAGGCTTGCTACAGGTGCTACGGTAGACTTTGCATGGAGAATTGGGGGTAAATTAACTTGAAATTATGTGACTGTTGAAAAGCTCTCTAACACGAAGAACTGAAGTAATTGTCAAACATCGGGGGAAAATATGTTTAGTAACTTAATTACAAAAAACCAACCCCCAACAAACCCTTAATTCCAACCTTAGACACGTACTTGCAATAAGTATTAGCAGGGAGAACTAGGTGCATATGTTTTGGCTTCTCTGTGCTGCACGTGGAAAATATATTCTGCGAAGTTGCGTTATTCTGTCTCCCTTTTCCCGGACCTGAGATGGCAAGAGTAATGTTACACGTGCTATAGGGCTGTGGGATTGTGCGGTTGTTTTTGCACGGATGGAGCTCTCCATATGATCAGTTACAAAGAAAGTTGCACGATCAGCTTTGTGGTCACACTCCATAATTCTCTCAGAACTATCAAAGTATCTAAGCACCAAACTGAAATGATGTTTTAAACCATGTTACTTGTTGAACTACATCAAGGTTATGTCAAAGCTCACCTGCTTTGTCTTTTTCAGTTTGCCAAGTGTGCAAGGAAATGGGATTTCTGCTGTTTGTAGAAATCTGGTGGCTTTCCAGTGTAGCGAGTGGGTTATTTGTTTCTTTTTTAAAAAAAAACAACCTGAAATGTGATCTGCCTGTATTGCCTACAGTCTGTAAGAAAGCTGAATTTATTAATTCCGGCCCGTACTAGAGCTTAATTCCTGCCAATACTAGAGCCCATACTAGCTTCTGCTGGACCTTTGTTACTGTGCTAGAGAGACTGCTTTGAAAGTGGTCACAGTGTGAAGACTATAATTATAGTTTAGAAATGCTAATTAACTGTATCATACCACCTCTTATAAATGGTAAAAGTATACTTTACTCTAAATAGACAAGGTAAATTTGAGGTACATCTTCAACCGTCAGTATCTGTGCCTGCACTAGTAATAACTGAACCACTTTTATCTGAGTTTTTCAGTTCAGCCTATAGTAGAGGCAAAGAAGTTGATTTGAGAAAGATAACGTGGTGTAAGACAGCATCTTACAATTGCTTACAATGTTAAATCTTCAAAAGGAAAGAGAAGGAAGGTGACTACTCATGCAGCAAGCTTGTACCTCTAACTCTAACAATGTGGAAGTGACCATAAGTACTTCGGTAAGTTATATTACATAAGAACAAAAGCAGCTGCAGTGGATCCGCATAGCTTGATAGCTGGACTCCAAGAGTAGCCACAAATGATGCTAAAGGAAGAATATAAAACCAGAGCAAACATATACTTCACTTTTCCTGCCCCATTTGCTATCCCAGACTCTACATTCCTGAGTCATGACTGGTTCCTACATACATTTAGGTAATCAGTGGCATTTGCTGCCATGAGATTGTTGTTTTCTCTTGAGCCCATATTAATTTCCAGCATCTGCAGAAACCCTTACAACTATGGGTTGTGTGAAGAACTACCTCTCCCGTTATTTTGAGACTTGCTGAATAAAATTTGCTGATTTATTGTCAGGTCACTACTCAGAATCCTTCTGTCAAGTCCTCTTCTTACCTTGAATAACTTGGTGTCACCGGTAAAATCACATCATGCTGTTGAACAGAGCAGGTGCTACTATAGGTTGATTTGGCTTTCCACTTGTAGCAAGATATTTATTTACTCCTCCTTTGTTTTCTATTGCTTCACCAATTTTGTGTATGCAAGCATAGTCCCTTTTATCTTATGGCTGCTTGGCTGCTTTAATGAGGGAGAGCCTTTTCTGGAATTGTGTCGTGCAGATTGTCATACTTCTAGTGACACTGTGTCTCCCTGTCCACCAGTATTGCTTACTTAGCCTGCCTCTCCTCCAAACCCCCAAACCTCACCTCACCCTCAGTTCTCTCCTCTACTATTACTGCATTAAGAAAAACACTTGCCATGTTGCTGGAACTGTGTTACGAGGTTCAGTCAGTGACTCTGGGCAGTGGTTTAGACTGTGTTTTGTTTCTTTGTTTTACAGTGAGAATGAAAGAGATCTGAGGAGAAACTCCAAGGTTTTTGGGGATTTGATTAGGAAGTTTGGTTAATCTGAATACATATCTGATTTTAGGAAACTTAAGAGGTATCTCTCAGATGGAAGATGCT